TATATAAATGCAAAGTGGATTAAAGACTTAAACTAAGACCTGAAACCATAAAACTTCTAGAAGAAAACATAGGCTGTACATTCTTTGACATCAATCTTAGCAATATTTTTTGAGATCAGTCTCCTCAGGTAAGGGAAACAAAAACAAAAATAAACAAATGGGACTATATCAAACTAAAAAGGTTTTTCACAGTGAAGGAAACTACCAGCAAAATGAAAACGCTGCCTACTGAATGACAGAAGATATTTGCAAATGATATATCTGATAAGGGGTTAATATCCAAAATATACAAAGAACTCATATAACTCAACATCAAAAAACCAAACAACCCAATTAAAAACTGGGCAGAGGACCTGCAAAGACATTTTTCCAAAGAAGAAACACAGATGGCCAACATAAACATGAAAAGATGCTGAAAATCACTAATCATCAGGGAAATGCAAATCAAAACCACAATGAGATAGCACCTCACCCCAGTCAGAATGGCTATTATCAAAAAGACAAGAAATAACATGTGTTGGTGAGGATGTGGAGAAAAGGGAACACTTGCACACTGTTGGTGGGAATGTAAATTGGTGCAGCACTATGGAAAATAGTATGGAGGTTCCTCAAAAAAAATTAAAAATAGAACTACCATACAATCCAGCAATTCCACTCCTGGGTATTTACCTAAAGAAAATAAAAACACTAATTAGAAAAGATACATGCACTCCTATGTTCATTGCAGCATTATTTACAATAGCCGAGACTGAATTAAATATTGACATTTGTGAAAACATGGATGGACCTAGAAGGTATTATGCTAAGTGAAATAAGTCAGAGAAAGACAAATACTGTATGATTTCACTTATATGTGGAGTCTAAAAAACAAAACAAATGAACAAACATAACTAACCAGAAACAGAGTCATAGATACAGAGAACAAACAGGTTGTTGCCAAAGGGGAAGGATGTTGAGGAGGAGAGAAATAGGTGAGGGAAATTAACAGGTACAAACTTGCAGTTACAAACTAAATGAGTAATGGGTATGAAATGTACTGTGTGAGGAATATAGTCAATAATTATGTAATATCTTTGTATGGTGACAGACGGTGATTAGACTTATCATGGTGATCATTTTGAAATGCATAGGAACATCAAATCACTATGTTGTGTACCAGGAACTAACAAAGTGTTGTAGGTCAATTATACTTCTAAAACAAACAAATAGAGAAAAAGAGATCAGATTTGTGGTTACCAGAAGTGAGGGGTGGTGGGAGGGCATGTACAACATGTAATGTACAACATGATAAATATAATGAACACTGCTGTACATTATGTATGAAAGTGGTTAAGAGAGTAGATCCTGAGTTCTCATCACAAGGAAAAAAGTATTTTTCTATTTCTTTAAGTTGTATCTATATGAGGTGATAGATGTTCACTAAATTTATTGTGGTCATCATTTCATGATATATGTAAGTCAAATCATTATGCTGTACACCTTAAACATCTACAGTGCTGTATGTCCATTATATCTCAATAAAACTGGAAAAGAAAAAAAAACAACTGAGGTGAGAATTCTAGGAACATGGCAGAGTAGAAAATACCAGGACTCTGTCTCCTCACCTAGATAACTATTACACAGACAGAATTTGTCTGATGTAACTACTTTAGAACTCTGGAGTTTACTGAAGGCTTCCAACTTCCAGGAGAGGGTTTGGGCAGTGGTTAATTTCAGTCAATGTCAGCATTTAGCACAGTAGCAGCTACCCATCCCCCATCCCAAGCCCTTTGGCAGGCATCTATGCACATGTTCCTGGAGTAACCTGCACACAGCTTGTGGGAACCAGGGTGGGCAATGAGAACCTTGTCCTCCAAATACTGGACATCTGTGTTCTGGTCACTGATTGCTCTTTCTGATCATGAGGTGCAAAGAGGAGGGCAGTCATTCTTGTTTAACCTCCCCCTCCATCTTGCAACCCCCTTGTTCACTGGCTGAAGTGACTTCCAGGGAATTTAAAGGGATGGTGCCCCTTTCCCTTCCCTTCATTTCTCTCTTTTTCCTCTTTTGGGAGTCACACATTAAAGACTAGGACATTCAAAAGTGACTGCATGTATGAGGAAAATTAGAAAGTGACTGCACATGCCCAGGGAAAGGCACAGGCTCAGAAAAACACTGAGAAAACCTTAAGTTTACACCTCAGATTGATCATTGGCACAGAGATAGTCTACAGCAATCAAAAATAATAACAAAACCCACCACACCCTGGGGAAGAGGGAGAACTGGATTTCTAGAGTTACCACATTATTAGATTCAAATGTCTAGTTTTCAATAAAAAATCACAAGGCATATAAGAAACAGGAAAGTGTGGTCCACTCAAAGAAAAAAAATCAAAATAAAATGTCCCTGAAAAAGACCTGATAGCATATCTACTTGACAAAGACTTTAAAATATCCTTCTTGAAGATGCTTGAAGAACTAAAGAAAGATGTGAAGAGAGTCAAGAAAATGATATGTGAACAAAATAGAAATATCAATAAAGAAATAGAAAACCCAGAGAGAAAGCAAACAAATTCTGGAGCTGAAAAGCACTGAATGAATGAATGAATAACTGAAATGAAAAATTTACTAGAATGATTCAAAGGTTTATTTGAACAGGCAGAGGAAAGAATCAGCAAACTTAAAGATAGGACAAGAAAAATTATTGGGTCTGAGAGACAGAAAGAAATAACATTGAAGAAAAGTAAACAGAGTCTAAGGGACTTGTGGGAAACTATAAAACAGAGCAACATATTCATTGTGGGAGTCCAAGGAGAAGAGAGAGAGAGAGAGAGAGAGAGAGAGAGAGAGAGAGACAGAGAGAGACAGAGACAGAGAGAGAGACAGAGAGAATATATGAAGTAATAGGGCCAAAAACTTCCCAAATATGATGAAAGACATGAATATAAACATCAAAGAAGCTCAATGAACTCCAAGCAAGGTGAATTCAAAGAGACCTACAAGAAGACACATTATAATAAACTTTTGAAAGACAAAGAGAGAATCTTGAAAGCAGATAAAAAGTATCCTCTATAAGACTTTCAGCAGATTACTCTTCAGAAACTTTAGCAGCCAGAAGGCAATGGGTGAATATATCGAAAGTTCTGAAAGAAAAAGAACAAAACTGTCAAGAAACGATTCTATATCCAGAAAAACTATCCTTCAAGAGTGAGAGAGAGGGGCTTCCCTGGTGGCGCAGTGGTTGAGAGTCCGCCTGCCGATGCAGGGGACATGGGTTCGTGCCCCGGTCCGGGAGGATCCCACATGCCGCGGAGCGGCTGGGCCCGTGAGCCATGGCCGCTGAGCCTGCGCGTCCGGAGCCTGTGCTCCGCAATGGGAGAGGCCACAACAGTGAGAGGCCCACGTACCGCAAAAAAAAAAAAAAAAAAAAAAAGAGTGAGAGAGAAATCAAGACATTCCCAGATAAACAAAAGCTGAAGGAGTTCATTACCACTAGATCTACCCGTAAGAAATTCTCAAGAGAGCCCTGCAGGCTGAAATAAAATCACTAGACAGTAACGTGCAGCTGTATGAAGAGATACTGTAAAAATCTCACAAAAGGTAAATACACGGGGAGAGTGACACTAGCATCATGGCAGCCCCAAATGTCCCTTATTTTGTCCTCAGTTCAACAACAAAAATTCAGCATCCATCCATGAACAAAAGTGCCTCTGTGGGAGTTGTGGGATCCAGCACCATATACCAAGGGGCCCAAGAGGAGTCTTTCCCGCCTGTGCATCAGCTAATAGGCAGACAGACCTCAGTACTGGCAGTGAAACCTGCAGTAGCCTGTGGATTGGCTCCAGCCACTCTTGGCTGTAGTCCAGGAGCAGCTGGAGAACACTGACTTGGGAGGTCACACACAGATGAGAGAGCCTTTGTGGAAGTCCAGGTTTCCAGAGGACAAGCTCTGGCACTCCACTGGAGCAAAAAAACAGAAGTTTGGACACACTGGAGTGGCAGTTAGTAAGGATTGGAGGGCTTGGGATGAGGCGGTCACGTGAGATAAGGCCCATAGGTCAGTAGTAACATTAACGCTAATAAAACTACTAATACTAATGCTAATGATAAACAGATGACTCTTTCTAAATGTTCTCTATGTGTTATACATTAAACTGAGCACTTTTTATATGCCTAATTTAATTTAACCTACAAATATCTCTGCTGCTCATGGTAGGGGTGATTATCATTGGAGAAATTGAGGCCCAGAGAGGGGAAGCTTGCCTGGATTCCCCCAGTTCACAAGTAGCCAGGCCTGGCTTTGCACTTAAGTCTGCTGACTAAGAGGCATGCCAAGAAAGCCAGGGGCCCATTCAAGGAAGAGCAAGCATGAGGGTACTAGGGGGTATAGTGGGAGGCAAGAAAGATGGGGATGTTTATAACTTTGGACACTAGATGTGGAAACCTGATCTTCATTCTGAGATAGTTTAGAGGCAAGTAGAGGCTTGGGTTTAGGATAAGCCCTTTAGGTTCAGGAGAAGGAAGACAAGGCCAGGCTGGAGGCTGCCTCAGTAGCCGAGACCGGAGGTGATGGGGTCTGGACTTGTGTGGGGTGGAAAGCAGAAGACAGATCAGGGAATTGGAACCTGCAAGATGTGATCATTGAGGTGGTTCTGGGAATTCCCACTTATAGGAGGGGTGAGGCTGAGGTGCTAAGCAGGGAGTGAGGAAGGAGCTCCTAGCCTTTCTGGATGAGGAGGCCAGCTTTGGTAACACAGATGTGGGTCCAGACCCCGGCTCTGCCACATACCAGCTGTGTGACCTCAGGTAGGTTACCGATCCTCTCTGAACCCATCAGCTGGGTGCACACCCACTTCTTCCTCCAGGCCGGGGCAAGGACTGGATGAAACAAGTGCTTCATAATTTAACAGCCAGCACCTCGGTTTCCTGATTCCCTTCTCTGTAGTCTCACATCTTCCAAAATCTCTGACCCTACCTTCCAGGGACTGACACTGACCCTTGCATGACTGCTGTGGGGCTTACTTTAAGACCTTCCTTCTGGTAACTCTGGGAGATACAGTCCAGGACACCTTTGTATTTGTTTATATAAACCCCGTCAGCTTGCAGTCGACTCTTCACGACATCCATAGGAGTTGCTGTCCCCCAAGAAATTGCTCCTGTTAAGAGAGAGACAAATAGGTATCAGGGGCTGGCTGGTTGGGGTCTGGAGGGGACCCGGCTCCCTGCAGATTTCCACCATTCAGAGGCTTAATATGCTGCTGGGGGACGTGGAAGGAGCTCAAGGTCAGGACCTATGAAGGGGGTTCTTGATCCTCCCTCGCCACTTGCTGTGGGACTTTGCAGAAGTCTCCTGCCACCTCTAGGCCTTGAGTTTGTCTTCTGTAAAATGGGCCAGCAGCACCTATCTTCATGGGGTTGCTATGAGGACAAATAACCTGATGCATGTGAAGCATTTAGCACAGTGCCAGGTCCATCGCTAGTGCTTCCTAAGCAGAAGGATTTATTAGCAGCTTTTATTGGAGGAACAGGAACAGGCCCCATAGTACTTTCCGGGCACAGGGGAGGGAGACCAGGGTGAGGCCTGAGGCTGAAGGCTGGCAGCTCCCCAGAGGCAGGATTTACTCTGAACATGAAGAAGACGCTAAACAAACACTTTCACATAGCCTGCTTGCCAAGGAAGGGTCAGCTTAGGGATTGCAGAGAAGAGCAGGGTCAGGTCTTTAAAAAGCTCTTATCTTTTCCAGTGATGTGGAATAGAAGCCTTAGGACCATGTGCCACTGGGTCATCTTCTTTGGATAAGTTCAGGTGTCCTGGTTTGAGTACTTTGTGACTTTAACGGACTCTAAGAAAACAACGCCAGGTTATTGTATAAACAGAGAAATTGGCACATTCTTTGATGGGGAGAGAAAAACAAACCGATGTCAAAGTCCAAGGCAGCTGGTTTGCAAGGTTTTGTAACTGCTGCCCAGCGGCTCCCAAAAGAGGCCTTAGCCTGTCCCCAGCCCCCTGCCCATCCCAGCCTCCTGCCCTTGGTCCTCTGGGAGCCCTCTGGACCTCTCGTCCCTCCTGCCTTCTTCCAGGATAAATGGGGCCGCTTTCCCTGGAGTCAGCCCAGGTGCTGCCCTGGCACACTCCCCTGTTCTCAGCCCATGGGCGAGGGTATTACAAAACCAGGTTTGACTGCCAGGCCACACGCATCTGCTCTCACCAGAAATGAGAGCAGCCGGGGCCTGTTTGCCTTCTCAGTCAAGAAGTACTTATTGAGCACTTACTGGGAGCTGGCACAGGCCAGGCCTCAGGCACAAGGCGGGGAATGGGAACACTGGGGTCTGGTGGCTAAGATGTGGGCTCTGTTATGTGTTTCCTGAGTTTCAAGCACAGCTGATTAGATAATGAGGAGGAGGGATGACAATTTTCTTCTGTCCGGTGGATCTTTCCCATCAGCATCAAACATGCCATGTTATCTGCCTTTTTTTAAAAAATTTTTATTGGAGTTTGGTTGCTTTACAATGTTGTGTTAGCCTCCACTGCAGAACAAAATGAATCAGCCATACACATACAGACATCCCCTCCCTTCTGGACTTCCCTCCCATTTAGGTTACCACCGTGCATCAGATAGAGTTCCCTGTGCTATACAGTATGTTCCCATCAGTTATCCGCCTTCTTGAGAAGCAATCCTCTCTTGACTTCCGTACCCCTCTCTGACTATAGCTGTGTTTCTCTCTTTCCCGATACAGCACATTCAAATCTCTCAGAAGTGTTTTTTGTCCTTGGGTTCTCCAATTTCTTTCATCCCATTCTCTCTTGATCCCACTTCCATCAGGTTTTCACACCCTTCTCTTTATCAAAATGGGTCTTGTCAAAGTCCCTGGTGACCTATGCATTGCTAAATCCAAGCAGTGGTTATAGCAAGTGCAAAGGCCCTGTGGTGGGGAGAGAGCCAGGCACGGTCAAGTTGCAGGAAAGAGACCAGCATGGCTGGAGCAGAGCAAAGTAAGGGGACGGTAGCAAAAAAATGAGTGCGGAAGGGTAACAGGCAGCTGGAATGCTGATGGTCTTGAAACCATTGCAAGGTCATTGACTTTTACCCAAGGTGAAATGGGGATGCAGCGTGGGTTCTGAGTAAGGAGGTTAAGTCCAGTCCATGGTCACAAAATGACTAAGTGTGGATTTGAACTTGGATCTTTCTGACTGCAGAGTCCCTACTATACTGTCTACATTAGCTGTGTGACCTTGAGTTGGTCACGCTGAACCTGTTTTCTCACCTGAAAAATGGGGAGACTGATTCCTACCTTCTGGGGCTAATAAAAATTTCACATTGGAAAGGTTTGCAGGGTGCCAGTATTCAAAAAAGGTGAGCCATGATAACAGATTTTCTTTTCAAAGCTCAGTGATACCTGACACAGAGTAAGTGCTCAAAATATACCTTCCAGCTGAAAGTTGTAAGAGTCCAAATAGGGACTCAGAGAAAAGGGGATGGGAGAAAGAGGGGGGACCATCCCCCATTCCTAGCCATTCATCTGCCTGGCTAGGTCTGGCCATAGCAGGTGCTTAACAGAGAATTGTTGGATGAGTGGCTGGATGAACCCTGCCCTTCCCCAGGGCTGAGAAGGGTATGGTAGGCTCCCCAGCTGTCTTGCTGCCATGGTCAGCATGGGGGCAGGGATCAGCCATGCCGCCCTTACCTGCCATGCCTCCCGCCAGCCACACAGCACAGGGGCTGGGGCCTGTGTGGGCCTCGGGCGTAATCCAGTCACTCAGGAACACATAAGGGATGAAGTAGAGGCAGTAGCCCGGGACGTCCCGCAGCAGCATGGCACTGGCGCCCCGGTACAGCCCTGCCAGGCCTTCAGTCCGCACGATGGTTATGATGCAATGCACAGGCCCCTGGTAGGCTGGCTGTTCCCCAAGAGTTGCCACCCTGGGCTTCAAAGCGAGGTTGGCTGCAAAGACAGGGCAAAAAGATAGCAAGTGACCTGGGGGCAAGAGAATGACCACTGTCTGGCACTGGAGTCAGCCCAGCCCATTGACAGTTCCTGCTCACGTCACCAATTGATTTTTACCGAAACTTCTGACCATCTTGGCAACTCAAATGGGGATTCTGAAGTCCCAACAAGGAGCTCCTGCCAGCATGTGCAGCCAGACTGGACAAAATCCCAGCCAGGTGATAAAGCACCTGTTGCCTTAGGATGCCCAGAGGTTCTCGGTCAACCATCACTATGTCTTTTTGAGTAGATGTGACTGCACGATGCCTAGGATCAAATATGCTGAGGCATACCAAGCTCCTTCCTGAAGCAGAGGCTGGAAAATCCAACACACTCTGTGTGTGTGTGTGTGTGTGTGTGTGTGTGTGTGTGTGTGTGTGTGCGCGCGCGCACGCTCGTGCCTAGTGTGGTAAAAAGTGTATGAGATTTGGACCCAGACCGTCCTGGTTCCAAATCCAGGCCCTGCTTACCAACTTTCTGACCTTGGTAGGCACCTTTTTAGCCTCTGTTTCCTTACCTTTGAAAAGGGGACAGGCCAATACTGTATTGTATACTTGAAAGTTGCTAACAGAGCAGATCTTAAACATTCTCACCACATACACACACAAAATGGTAACTCTGTGAGGTGATGGATGTGTAAACTGACCTTATCTTGGTAATCATTTCACTATACATACGTGTACCAAATGATCACATTGTGCGCCCTAAACTTACACAAGGCTATATGTCAGCTGTATCTCAATAAAGTTGGAAAATTGTATCTTTTAAATAAAAAAGAGAACAGGCTGTTGTGAGTATAAACAAGGTAATACCTATAAAGAGCTCAGCATGGTGCTAGGAACACTGTAGGGGCGCAATGTTATCACCAGATTATTACTGAGACCAAGTTGACTGGTGTGAGTTGGGTGCAGGATGCACTGGCTGGAGGGCTGGACATGTTCTTACTGACTCTCTCCAGCCCTGGCCAGGCTGTGCCCTGAAACAGCTGTAGGGCAGTACTGGTGCCATTGGCCCTCAAAGTCCAGGGGCACAGGGTGCTGTCTCCTTAGCTGACCTCTGGGGTCTCTGCTGGCAGATCATCAGTTGTTATATCAGTAGCTTCTTTACAGGATGTGTGTAGACAGCAAGTAGTGACTCTGTCTGTTTCTCTAATTCTTCCATCGGGCTTCTTCCATCTCCCTGCCTCATGCCTGTCTACTCTGCTACGGACCTTTTATTTATTTTTATTTTTATTTATTTATTTTTTTTTGCGGTACGCAGGCCTCTCACTGCTGCGGCCTCTCCCGTTGCGGAGCACAGGCTCCGGACGCACAGGCTCAGCGGCCATGGCTCACGGGCCCAGCCGCTCCGCGGCATGTGGGATCCTCCCAGACCGGGGCACGAACCCGTGTCCCCTGCATCAGCAGGCGGAATCTCAACCATTGCGCCACCAGGGAGGCCCCTGCTACGGACCTTTTAGCACAGCTTTGACTCACGGCCAGAGAGACCTCCTAGTCCCAGTGCAGATAAAGCGGACTCATGTTCTCAACTTTCCCTTCTTGAAGAACTAACATGACATGGCCAGGACAGAAACAGAATGAAGCTTGCCTGTGACCACATGCGTATTTTGCCACCTGGGTTTAATTCCCTGTAAGCACCCTCTCAATGGGGTTTTACACATGCTGGTTAAGAGACAGATCACTTTTGTTATATAGGTGAACATCCAAGCCCCCTACATAGCCCCATCTTTATCAAATGAAGATTAGGAAAAAATACTCAGCTTCATGATGCCACAGTCCAAACCGGAGATTTAGGAGTAAAGTACAACCTGTCCTTTTCACTCAACCCAGAAGTAGACGAGGTCCAGGGGGAGGTTCCTATTTGCCTGGAAAGTATGCTTGAACAAACTAATCCCGTATTTTCTTTCTATGTTGGGGGAACAGAGGCATCCTGGCCACGTACGTTAGGCCAACTACAGCGTGGGCAGGAGGCTGAGTCTCATTCTATAGTCTATAGCAGGGAGTGAGCAGGAGTGGTGGCCAATTTTAGGGGCACAGGGCCCTCTGAGCTCAGAGCAAGATCAGACACTGTGGTCTTTGAGAATCCACTGAGAGGTCACTGAACACCCCTTTCTCTCCCAAATCCACTATGATACCACCAGGGTCATCCTGGGAAATTTTGACATTAGCCCACATAGATGTTAATTGTCCCAACGTATAAACTTTGCCTGGGCCATGCTCATGTCGAAGTAACAGTGATCTGTCCCAGGAGTCAAGGTTTTCATGAATCAACTGTGGGTATGATGTAGCTTTCAGAAGTTACTGATTGAAAGAGAATGTCCTGATAACATTCTGCTTGTGTGGGGGACAGATGTTGAAAAAAAAACTTGTCCAACCTCCAACTGACTTTGTCAACAAAAAACCTGTACTTTTTTCCTTTTCTTTTCAGGATAATCAATAAGGAAATTCTCTCACATTCTCCCAGGGTTGTAACATAAGTGATCTAGCTTTTATTGCTTGAAAATGATCCATTTACAATTATTATAGCAATAGAATTGTCATGGTGACCTGGAGTACTGACACGAGTCTGAACTGGTGGCCAAGGCCTTCTGGACACAAGTTGATACTGTGAAGCCCTTGGAACTCCTTCCAGCTCCCTCAACCCCAATATTTTTAAAGAAACTTCTTATTTGGAAATAATTTCAAATTTGCAAAAAAAAAAAAAGTACAAAAAAGGAAAACTGTACACAGAACACCTTTACCCAGATTCACCTATTGTTAACATTTTACCTTATTTGTTTTATGGTTTGTATGCTCTCTCCCTCCCTCCCCCTCTTCTCCCACTCCGCCCCCCTACTTTTCACTCAAACACGTGTGTGCAATTAAACTGAACAGATGCCTTTGTCCCAGTGCCTAAACTTTGCCTGGGCCATGCTCATCTCCAGGTAACAGTGACCTGACTTGGAGTCAGGGTTTTCACGAATCAGCTGTGGGTACAATGTGGCTTTCAGGAGTTACTGATAGAAGGAGAGAATCTGATAAAATTGGAAAAACACTTGGCCAAACGAGAACCGGCCTTGACATCAAGACCCAAACCAGAACCAAATCTGTACTTTCATTTTTTTCTCCCAAAATAAGCAATAAGGAAATTCTTTTGCACACACATGCATACATAATTTTATTCTCTGACGCATTTCAGGGTGAGTTACATACAAAATGGTCTTTTACGCCTAAATACTTCAGTCTGTGTTTCGGGATACCATTCTACATACTGTGGGACAACAGCCGGGTTCATAATCTACATGGACAATACTTGTATCTAATGTACTGTCTATGCTCATACCTTCCTGTGATCTCATGCTGACCTTTAGAGTGTTCCTCCCCAACCCCCAGGACAGGATCCAGTCTATCATGTATTATATTTAGTTGTCAGGTCTCTTTAGCTTCCTTTCATTTGGAGCATTTCCACAGCCTTTCTTGGGTTTTTTTTTTTATGACACTGCCATTTTTCAAGACTACACCACCCCCTTTCTTGTTAACAGAACTTTCCTTATCTGAGGCTTGTTTGATGTGTCCTTGTTATTACATTGAGATGATGCATTCTTGGCTGGACTTCTTCCCTGTTCTTAAGTCTCACCTTTTTTCCCATGAAGACCAATCACTCTTAATAGCCCTTGTCTTCTCCTCTGGCCTCCTCTGCCTGTTGTTATTAGTTTGTTTTTTAACTGAGGTATAATTTACATTCCATAAAAGGTGTAGCTTGTAAGTGCACAGTTGGTGAGTTTTGACCATGGCATGCACCAGACACCATATCCTACTGAGAAAATGACGTCTTAGACTTGAAATAAACTGTTTTGGTTACTCAGGCAGAGCAAAGAAGCCTACCTAGCCTCTCCTGCTTTTCAAGGCAAAAGGATTCTGTGACATCAATGACGTGTCACTCAATGAGAAGCAAATCTCTTTCGGGTGACAGTTGTTATGGGCCCACCTACTTTAGCAATAGTGGTATGGACAATTCATAAGGGACCACAAGGTAGAAGACCGCTGGGATTCTGATCAGTTGCTCAGACCACAAGATGCTCTGTGGCTCAGCTGGGGAAGGAGTTGCCCAGGAGCCTTGGCAGCTAGACTTAGAAAAGCGCCGAATCAGAGCTTCCGGTAACTCTAGCAGTGGACCAAATTTAGTTTGTGTAAAACAAATTTTGGTGACCCTTAAGAACTGACTTGGGAGGTTGCTGGCAAGCAGCTCTTGGAAGTATGCACAACTGATACATGTGGATTTGTCTTTGTGCAAGGAACCCAAGGAAGGAAGTAGGCACCCTGTCCACACTGAACCATTGCCCCTCAGCCTGTTGTTCTAGAACCTTCAGGGCTTTGGCTTGGGGTGCACACATGCAAGTGAAGGGTTCACATTAGGTATATTTCCTTCTAGAATGAAATGTATTTAGTTTCTCTAATGAGAATTTTTTGTTCGAAAATGAGGATAAGATGATGAATCAAATTTTGATTATTTCTTATCATGAGCACTTTGTCATTAAGGCCATTTTTTGCTGTACTCTCTAAATCAAGAGTCTTTTACTATGATAGGTAGAGTTACACTCAGGATGCCTGTGGTTTTCTTTGTTTTCCCAAATTCATTTAGGGTCAACTCAAGCACCCTACACCGAGACGAGCAGGATGTTCAAAGTTGATAAAATTGCCCCCCACCCTGCTCCTAACCTTCACCTAGGAGCTTAGGAAGGCCTACACAGTTCTAAAAAGACCCCTCCTCTGGGCTCCCCTGCCTTGTCCAGCTCAGTCCCCGCCATCGCTCCTCGGAGCACACACTGTGGCTGTCTGGCTCAGCGGCAGTGTCTGGTGCCTTGCTTGCTGGCTCCTGCCTGGGCCAGGAGGTCCCTCTGTAGGCAGGTGCCTCTGCAGGGAGCTCTGCAGAGAGTACGGGTGTCCAGGTTTGGCCGGTTCTAACAGGTACACATGCAG